AATAACGCATTATTATTATTAAGAGAGTTTAGTCGAAGTTGCGCGAACACATACTACAATTTTGTTTTTAAGATCGTAATTATGTCACGTGAACGTGTACACAACAACGATGGTATATTAAACGCGCCTAAAGCAAGCTTCGAATATTCATGTTTAAACTGAGTTCGAAATTTAATATACAGCTATTAATTGTAAGTAAAAAAGGATAATATGCTAGGCCTTTAATTATTTAAAAGAATTCTAGGCCAGCAGTAAGCCCAATATCATCTAAAGATCTTTTTAAAGGAACATAAGAAAACTAGGCTCGAAATCGAGCCCAGGAATGAGGACAAAGGCAAGCAGCTGCAACAGCTTCAATTGGGCCAAGTACCAGGCCCAGCTTTTTATAGGTAAGCCTTCAGTACTAGAAGCGCATTTTTTATTACACTAAACAGAAAACTTAATGGATAAAATTGCTGAAGAAAATTGGGCTCGAAGTTGAGCCCAAAACGAAAAGCAAGTAACGGTCAAAACACCCCAGGTTGGAATTCGACCAGGCTGCCTCGCCTGGGCCATTGTCAAGCCCAATTGAGGCCCCTTTGAATCAAATGTGACCCAATAGTATTAAAAATTTAGCAAAAATCAGCAGCTGATCATCCATGCCAAGAGTCTAATTATTAACATGCTGTTAGTACTAACCATAAGAGACTACACTTTAAACATATTCATGAATCACCTTAAATTTAAATGCATAATTGCTTTAACAAGGTTGGGATCTGAGATAGTTTAACACTGTTCTTTAGAGTACATATCCAGCCTACCCTAATAAAGATCAAATGAACTACCAGGGTTATTAAGCATTTTAAAACTGTCAAAAATAGTACATGGAGCAAATAAACTGATCCGACTATTCATACATATAACAAAGCTATAGAATAGAACATTAGATTTAGAATACCTAAACAAACTAAAATAGAAATATTAAACTAAGTAACAGCCTACATAAGAAAATCTAGAATTTAACATTTGTATAACCAACTTCTTATTACAACAAAGACTAAATACATGCTTCAAACTTTATTTTCCATTCAAGGGTTCATATAGGTACCTGGATATCAAGAACAAAACAAGAGTGAAGTAAGGATTTCAGCAAGGAATCAGTGAAGACAGTCTCAAATCACAGCAATGCACAGCTTCAACTTAATCCATGCTTCGACTAAAAAAATCAGAAATCCCATAGAAAATTTCTAAGTCTTTTTTTTGTATTTTGTTTTGAATATAATTGAAAGAAAATAGAATCGGCTACTAATAATGAAACAGTCGAACTTTTGGAGTGTTTTAGGGTTTGAAAATCTCTACCTCAAATGAGTGAAGAAAGGTTCTATTTATAGGCATCCAAAATGCCATGTGCTGAAAAAGAATCAGGGAATCGTTCCGTTTAGCCACAAAAGGCATCTTCTAACAAACTTCGATAGCTGGCTGTCCCTCATTGGCTTCAGTATTTTGTGCTAACCAAATGAGGCCAGCTGCCCATATTCTAGAACCTTCCAACATGCTCTTATCCAATTTCATACTTACACACCCTTCAAACAAACCCCTTAAGTTTTTTTTGTTCATTTGACCCCCTAGAAGTGTCTTCGGATTTACAAATCAAGGCAAACAAAGACCAGGCCAAAAGGAATCAGAGTAAATGACAAATAAAATTGAAATAATGCAATTTAAGCCCTAAAAATGACCTAATCAGTAAATAAGAGTGTTCATCTTATTAACCCTAAGCAAAACTGGATTTAAACAACTAATCCACCTAAACAGTAATCAAACCAGAATTAAAATGAAACTGCAAAGAAAACCTAGAAATTAACCTACTCAGTTTGCAAATTAAACAATTAAACAACTAATTGTTTTTTGACAGCTAACCAAAACAGACTAAACGACTTTTTAATCAGTCTTGAGTAAAGTTATTCTAATTAACCAAAAACAAGAACTAAATCATAAGCATAAGATAGAAACAACAGAAGAATCATTCTATGTATCAAACCTAAAAGTGAACCCTAATTAAACTAAATTCATGCAATTGAAGATAAACTTCAAATACTTAAATTCCAGCATGCTTTAATTAATCTACTAAATAGAAGCAACTAAACAAACTAAACAGTCGTGAACAAAAGAAAAGAAAACTTAAAGTTTCAAACCTAAAACATGCGGCTAGAACAAGCAATTAAACATGAAGAAGAACAACAAAAGATAAAATAAACAGAAAAATGAAAGAAATTACCTAAGCTCGTTTTAAAACTGGATCATCTATGAATTTGACCAAGCTTCAATAGGGTAAAATGAACTTGAACTACCATTAATCGACTGTTCTCAACAAGAACAACCGACTAATGGACGTTTTGGGTTCAAACACACTAGAAATTGACTGAAGAAAAAAAGGGGAAAGGTTAGGGTTTTGTGGATCTTAGATTTAAGATTCGGAGAATTTGGCGGGGATTTTTGGGAAATCAATGGTAGGACAATGGCGAGGGAAAGTTGAGGGTCCTATGGTGTGAGTTTGGGGTTGTTTGGGCGACTTAGGGTGTTTTGGTTTGGATTTCAGATCCAAGATTCGAGCAGTTTAAAAAGGATTTCAGGGAAATGGTTTGGGGATTTGGAAAGGGGAGAAAAAGGTGATTGCCTGGTGTTAATTTGGCCGGATTTTGGTGTCGCCGCCGCCGTAGGGCGATTTCCGATGGCGGAAGGTGGCGGAGACGGTGAAGGGTTATAAGGCGGCTAGGGTGATATGCTTAGAGAGAGTTTGAGAGAGGAATGAGCTGGGGTGTTTAGGGTTTGGGGGGTCCGTTCGGACATATTTAAGAGAAATGGGGGGTAGTTCCGGCCTGTTAGATCATCGGGGATGAAGGGCTAGGATTAAATGACGCCAAACGACGTCGTTTTGGTTAGTTAGGGGCGTTGGACCGGGCAAGGGATTGGGCTTGGGCGGATTTTGGAATGGAAGGGGGTTTAGACCATTGGTTTTGGTCTTATGGGTGGCCCAAACCAAAAAAAGTAGTCTTTTCTTTTGTTTTTCTTTCTTTTTCTCTTTTTTTTCCTTTTTTCTTTAATTAAAACCCTAACTAAATTAATTAAATTCTAAATTTAATCCTAAATTATTCTAAATTATAAAATCAAGCTAATTATTCTGTTATATTTACAAAATTAGTTGATCCTAAATTAAAGAAGAGAAAATTACTAATTTAGCATTAATGACTAAAATGTAAAATGAATGATATTTTTGTGATTTTCATTTTAATAACAATTAATTTACCAAATTAATCCTAAAAAACGAAAACAACACCTAATATGCAATGCATGAAATTTTGATATTTTTGGGGTATTTTCTATGCTTTTAACGCATGCAAAAATGCAACTAAAAATGCAAATACTTGAACGAATATTCCTAAAAATTCTATAAAATTAAAAATGACATCTATTTTGAGATTCTGTAGGAGTATTTTTGGTCGGGCAAAAATCACATGCTCACAGCCACAACATTTCCCTAAAACGATTCCAGTACCACAACAACACATAGCCCTCGGCTCAACAAAATTGAGTACAACAACATCAAAAACAACAACAACGCGGAAGTACGACAAGTAAATCAGCACAAGAAATACAAACACAAAGAAAGGATAGAACGGGCCCAAAATGAAAGACATAACAAGTAATAATGATTTCAAATAAGAATAACTCAACAATAGGAGAGATAGTGTGTAAATATAATATCAAATAAGAGTCACTCAACAATGGAAGGGATAACATGTAATAATGATCACAAATACGTACAACTCAATGATAAGACAGATAACATGTAATAATGATTCAAAATAGGTACAACTCAACAATAAGAGAGATAAATCTAACAATGGTTTCAAGTAGTTCCAACTCAACGATAAGAGAGATAACTTGTAACAATGGTTCCACTTAGGTACAAATCAATGATAAGAGAGATAACATGTAACAATGATTCCAAAAAAGGATAAGTCAACAATGGATGGGATAACAATAACTTCAACTAAGGTTAAGCAATTACGAAAGAGATAATATGGCAATAAAAGAGACAACAACTTCAGTTAAGGCATACAAGAGTATTTTTGGCAACAGGTGGAACATTAATCAATCAATTTCAAATAAGACAAGTAAGAGAAAATTTAGCAATGGAGGATTTAACATGATAAAATAACTTCAATTTAATGTACATAAGAACCTAAAAGTCTAAGCCCGTGAAATTTCCACATATAAGCCGTTTGCACACTCGTTACCTCGTGTAGTCATCTTTTACGTATTTCAAATAGGACAAACAAACAAATCTCTACGGGGTAATTCTCCTACACAACGTTAGGCAAGATACTTAAGAAAGATAGGGAGCTTAGAGAGTCGGTGGTAGAGGTCAGACGGGTGAATGACAGATTGATGGCGATTAAGGTAGAAGTTGGAGGGAGCACTCTGTATGTCATTAGCACTTATGTGCCGCACACAGGCTTGGACAAGGAGGTTAAAAGGTGCTTCTGTGAGGCGCTGGATGAGGTGGTGCGGGGTATTCCGCCTACGGAGAAGCTATTAATAGGAAGGGATTTCAATAGTCATATTGGGTTGTCTGCTGGTGGCTATGGTGAGGTGCATAGTGGCTTCAGCTTTGGTGATAGGAACGGGGGCGGTACCTCATTGTTGGATTTCGCTAGAGCTTTTGAGTTGGTATCGTGAACTCTATGTTTCTGAAGAGGAAGGAACATTTGGTTACTTTCCGAAGTATGGTAGCTAAGACTCAGATTGACTATCTCCTCCTCGGGAGGTGTGATAGGGGGTTGTGCGAGGATTGCAAAGTGATCCCGAGTGAGAACCTCGCAACTCAACATAGTCTCCTGGTGATGGACGTCGGTGTCTTGATGATGTGGAAGAAGAGGTTTGTACGGGGTCAGTCGAGGATCAGGTGGGGAGGATTGTCTAAGGATAATGCATAGGAGTTGGAGTGGCGGCTGACGAATATGGGCGCCTGGATGAGTTGTGTGGATGCGAGCGCTATGTGGACGGCGACGTCGAACGGCATAAGGGAGGCAGCAGGAGAGGTGTTAGGAGTTTTGAAAGGTGACTCTGGCAGGCACCGAGGCGACTGGTGGTGGAATGACGTGGTCCTAGGTAAAGTGGAAGACAAGAAAGCGACTTACATTAAGTTAGTAGAGAGCACCGACGAGGATCAGAGGAGAGCGAATAGAGAAAGATATAAGGATGCTAGGAAGGAGGCAAAATTAGCGGTCACAGAGGCTAAGACTGCTGCTTTTGGTCGACTATATGAGGAATTTGGGGGTAAAGGTGGGGACAAGAAGTTATTTCGGTTGGCCAAAGCGAGAGAGAAGAAGGCTCGCGACCTAGATCAAGTGAGGTGCATCAAAGATGAGGACGGTCGAGTATTGATGGAAGAGGCCCAGATTAGGCAAAGATGGCAATCATACTTTCATAAACTTCTGAATGAAGAGGGGGCAATTAGGGAACTCCGAGAGTCACCGAGACTTTGGGTATTGTAGGTGCATTAAGGTTGAGGAGGTCATGGGTGCGATGGGTAAGATGAGTCAGGGCAAAGCGACCGGACCAGACGAGATCCCATTAGAGTTTTGGAGATATGCGGGTAGAGCAGGCTTGGAGTGGCTGACAGTGTTGTTTTATGTTATCTTCAGGACAAAGAGGATTCCTGATGAGTGGCGGTGAAGTACAATGGTTCCGGTGTAGAAGAACAAAGGGGATATCCAGAATTGTAACAACTATAGGGGTATCAAGTTTCTTGTATACGGTAAAATCCGAGGGACCGATTTTATGGTCATCTCGGGGCTCCAAAGATGCGTCTATTAAAGCCCGAGGCAGGGGTCGAGGCGCAATCTTGAAGAGTTCCAAAACACTTGATTCAGAGACAATGTGGATCGACGGATGCAATAAAAGAAATGGAAAGTTCCCTAGGCATTTGATGGATGTTGACAGGCTGATATGCGCCCATACCGAGGCATTAAATAGTTTTATCAGTCCCATATCTTTGTAATAAATACACTAATACTGTACGAAGATTCCCCTAATCTATAAAGGGGTTCCTTATCATTTTTGCAAAGAGGCTACTTCATTCAATATAAGAACATTCTTTCTGCTCCCTAACTTAAATATACTCCCTATTTGACTTTGTTGCTTACATTTATTGCTTTATTAACATTTATTATGTATCATTAATCGTTCTTCATATATTGCTCATTATTGGCCATAAAGAGCCGCGATCACAACCCTGATAGTTGTTAATCCCCAATGACAGCCCTCGATCGGGCGTCTAACTCGGCATCGAGACCCCGCATGTGCTAGCTCGAGGCCCCGATTCTCAACCGTTTGGTTTGGTTTCTAAAGTCATCTTCAATCTCTTATATTGTTTTCTAATCTCGTCGCTCAGCATACACTTCTTAATAACTAGCATTAAAATAGATCACATGTTTTTAGAACCACAAAATCAAATCTAATTGTTATTACCATTTTCAAGGTAAACAGTTTGGCGCCCACCATGGGGCTAAAAATAATAGTGATTGTTTTCTTGCTGGTTTACTGCATAACGCATGTTATCTTTCACACTTTTTGTTGCCCAAGATCCTTGATTTCAGGTCAAAATGTCCAACTCAGTAAACGCACGTGTGTATACGGCAAAATCGGAGGGTCCAATTTCTCATCATTAAAGCGCTAAGGAAAGTCATCTCGAAGGCTCGAGGCCATGGTCGAGCATCTTCCCTTGAGGGTCATCAATACTCGACCCCGTAGTAGCAATGATTAGAGTAGTGGTAGAAATGGGAAGTTCCCAAGGCACTCGCCTAGGGCTGGCAGAGTCTGCTGATCTACTCCGAATCCGAGTCAGGGTGTCATTCAGCTGTCCCATCGCCGTATCTTTGTAATTAATGCATTTTGTATTATGTTGGAATTCCCCTCCTATATAAAGGGGATCCTTGTCTTTTTCGTAATCACCGTTGCTCCAGTTGCTCCACACGAATATAAAATGAACATTCTCTTTGTTTTCTGCCATACTTCCTTGTTATTATTGCTTTCATATATTATCTTCATACTTGTTCATCATTTATTTCTTATCATTGGCCATAAAGAGCCTTTATTAATTTTATTATAACTGTTAGCCCTACCCCGATCGCCCCTGATAGTTCATTATCGAGCCACGGAACCGACCTCGAGGTCCCCGTATCGACAAGCACGAGGCCTCGATTGTCAGCCTCTCGGTTTGATTATCACCTCATCTTTAGCTCTTATTTCGTTCCTAAACTTCATACACATAGTATCATCTGCTTAACTACTAGCATAAAAATAGATCAAGTATTTTTAGAGTCCCATCAACAAATTTAATTGAGTTACCATTTTCACGGTAAACAACGTCAACAATCATGAGGATCGTGGAGAAAACGGTGTAGCTGTTCCAGGTGTTGGAGTACCACCACAAAACCCTGGGGACGCGCAAGAACCAATTCCTATGGATGCGGTCTCGCGCGACGCTTGAGACGTCGAAATAAGCTCCCACACCAAGAGGAGCATACACCAAGGAGATCAACAAGAAGCTCAGAAAACCCTAGCTTGAGAAGAGTAGGAAGTTAGCCTTCACGTTATCTTTGAAATGTTACAGGCACAACACCTGGCGATTGCTCAGCTGCAAATTAAACAGAAAACTCCTAGCATGGTAGCACTGGAAACGGCTCCCCAAGCTGAGCAGGTACCGGAAAGATCAAGCAACAACGGGGCGGCAGCCGACCCCGCCATCATAAATATGCTCGAGGACCTCACAAAGAGGGTTGAATCGGGCGAGAAGAAGATAGAAGCCAACGACAAGAAGGTGGAGACCTACAATTCTAGGGTCGAGCAAATCCCGGGCGCACCCTCGATCTTGAAAGGTGTCGACTCCAAGAAGTTCGTGCAAAAGCCGTGCCCACAGGAAGCAGCTCTGAAACCCATTCCAAAGAAGTTCAGAATTCCCGACGTTCCGAAGTAAAATGGAACCTCAGACCCTAACGAGCACGTCACTTCTTACACTTGTGTAGTAAAAGGCAACGACCTGAAGGATGACGAGATCGAATCCGTCTTACTGATGAAATTTGGGGAGACGCTCTCAAAGGGAGCGATGATGTGGTACCAAAACTTAGCCCCACACTTAATAGATTCGTTTTCCATGCTGTTAGATTCGTTCATAAAGGCACATGCTGGTGCCATCAAGGTGGCTACAAGAATATCCGACGTCATCAAAATCAAGCAACGAGATAACAAGATGTTGCGATAATTCGTATGTCGCTTCCAAATGGAGCGAATAGAACTACCGCCGGTCTCCGATGACTGGGCAGTGCAGGCCTTCACTCAAGGTTTGAACGAGCGGAGCTCAGTAGCTTCGAGACAGCTGAAGCAGAACTTAGTCGAATATCCCGCCATGACCTGGTCAGACGCCACAACCGATACCACTCAAATATCCGGGTCGAAGAGGACCAACTGGGAGCCCCCTCGGGCTCGGTATATCCTAGCAAGCTTCCGACGAAGGAGCCAAAGCCAAACAAAGAAATAGAACAACCATACACTAAAGATAGAAGAAACACCCCGAGGCGCAACATACCCCACAACGATCAAAGGATGGATCAAGGTCAGAACCCTCGGGGACTTGTTAGCAGAGCTGGATTTGATAGGCACAAAAGGCTGACGGTGGCACCCCGCCTGTTGGAATACAACTTCAACGCCGACATATCAGACATCGTATCCGCCATCAGTAAAATCAGAGACACCAGGTGGCCAAGGCCTGTACAATCAGATCCTTCGCAAAGGAACCATAAATGATGTGTGAATTTCACAACACACATGGTCAAAGACCGAGGATTGCCGACAACTCCGGGGAGAAGTAGCCCGACTACTCAACAAAGGCCACCTCCTAGAGTTCCTCAGCAACCAAGCTAAGAATTAGTTCCGGGAAAGAGGGGCGACCAAGAAGAGTGAAACAAAAGAGCCACAACATGTTATCCACATGATCTTCGGAGGTGTCGATGCTCCACAAGAACATATGGTCAGGAGAACAAAAATTTCCATCACCAGGGAAAAGCGAACTCGAGGTTACGTACCCGAGAATGCCCTCACGTTCAGCGACGAAGACCTCGAGGCTCTAGCTCAGCCACATAATTGGAAATTTCCTTTCTTGTAAATACATTTCAAGTTAAGCGTGTGTTTGTGGATCCAAGTAGCTCCGCCACCATCTTCAGGTCGAGGGTGGTGGAGTAGCTCGGACTACTCGACCAGATCGTGCCCGCTTCTCGAGTCCTCAATGGATTCGACATGGCAAGCGAAATGACAAAAGGAGAAATCACCCTCCCGGTCAATACGGCTGGCATAACCCAAAATTCCAAGTTTCATGTCATCGAAGGAGTTATGAGGTATAACGCCTAACTCAGAAGGCCATGGATACACTGTATGAGGGCAGTACTGTCCACCCTCCATCAAATGATGAAGTTCCCGGAAAAAGACGGGGTAAAAACCGTCTACGGAGAACAACATGCAGCAAAAGAGATGTTTGCGGTGCACGATATGGCACCTGCACCAATACCTCCATCGTCGAAGGAGCCAAAGGATAAGCAAATGGTAAAATAGCAATAACAAGCTATATTTTCGGTTACACCCGACTAAAATAAGCAACGGACTGTACCCCGTCCTCGAAGCAAACGATCGAAGCATATTAAGACGCGAGGCATCGCCGGCACTAAGGTATAATCATCTCCCTTTTTGTTCAGATTTTGCTCTAACCATGTATGCAGGCACTCGATCGATGCTGCCGAAGCGCTTCCCAACCTGAAGTCCTTAGGTTTCAAAAGCATGCGTTGCACTCTTTTCCCTCGATCGGGTTTTATCCCAAGAAGGGTTTTTACCGACAAGGTTTTTAATGAGGCAACATCAATATGCTACATAAGGAAGTCTCAACAAGTATTTAACGCTTCTCTTCAATCAACCTCGAACACTGAGGGGCATCTCCATGGAAGGTCACCCTCTTGGAGAAGCCAAGATATACCGAATAGGGTCTCGATAGGAAAATGATGTACCAGGCCAAACGATCGAACAAACCATGTCTGTATAGAATAACCGAGCCCTAGACGGCGAAAACATGTATACTTGTACCAAGTAATCAAAGAATACTTTCCCCTCCATCAAAGCATTTCGCGTTTCAAAGAAGCTCACTATTTCTTACAAAAATGGCTCCAGGGCCCAAAATGTCCTGAACGCTCGTAGACTGGCATCCTGAACACTCGGGGACTAGCGTTAAAAAACTCTAAGCTAAGCCCTCTATGAGGCAACATTATGACTGCAAAAACGGCTCCAGAAGATGAAAGACGTCCCGAACACTCGGGGACTGGCATCGAAAAGTCAAGGCTACATGACCTCACGACCTCCGGGTCGGAAACTCCAAACTCATAAGACCTTCATAAGGTAATATCAAAGCTGTAAGACCTCAAAGGCATGTAAAAATTCATAAGACCTTTGTAAGGCAGTATCAAAACTTGAAGATCTCAAGCAAGGCATGAACCATACTTGTACCAAGTAACCAAAGCTGTAAGACCTAAAAGGCATGTAAAACTTTATAAGACCTTACAAAAGGAATAAATCCCGATCTTAAAGTTAAGGCTATAAATCGAACTTATAAGACCCCTAAAAA